ACCTTTTGAGATTATTGCGGTGTTTGACTTTGCAATTAGCGTCAAGAGCTGGCGGCATGTTCTTCAAATGAACGGGTTGATCAAGGCCATATTCGGTCGCTAATCCCTGACCTTCTTCGGGAAGTGAAAATGAGGAACTTGTTGAAAAGTCCTTGTGGAAAAAAGTTTGAAGTGAGCGCCAAAAACTCCTCAATAAAGCAGCAATGACTCCCCCTCCCCCCTAGTTTTTGGGGATATTTCTGGCGGGTCGTGCAATTGTACCCACATTTTCGGTAGACCCCTGGGTATTCATTGCACGTATTTTAACCTTTAAAACACGTCTCTAGCATTTCTGCTTTCTAGATAGGAACACTTTTGGGGAGAACACCGCACGGCGATCCACGTCCGGCGCGTGCGGCAGGCGGCAACGGACGAATCCAACCATCGTGCACGGCACACCGACACTAATACACGCGCGCTAGGTTGGAGGTCAAGTTGGTCACCGAAGGTTTTTCCAAATAACTTCTGAACGGCGCGGCGTATCCGCGTTCAACTTTTTGTAGCTATAGGTAATTGAATAACCGAGCTTTTGGTAACGATAGATGCCTTTCAGGGTCCCTAAACTATGCCAGCTTAAGGTCCAAGTCCATGCCTGTCAGCCAAGGTCATTCGTTAGCATGGCTGTCAGGGAAGACGATTACATGGGATTCGTTCATTCTGATACGACAAGGAAGTATCAAACGAAGTCAGACCACTTTGGCAGACAACTTGATAATTTTAGTTAGGACTACGACTAATTCCAATAGCCGATCGCAAATTAAAATATGAAAGTTATATCCAAGATGATTGTCCTCTTGATCTTGTGAAGGACAAATCAGGCCACTGACCTTAAATGAATACCACTGAACGCTTGCTTAGAAGGGGTATCGTCATTAAGCGTGGTTGCATAAGGAGGTCTGAGGGCACTTTGGACACTTCTTTGACATTTTTTACCTTAGTTGACCCAAATATGGTAGTCTGTGGACCTCAGAATTTGTCACTGGCGAGTTCGCGTGCAGACCTATCAGTGCAAATGTGACTAAAGACCTGCAAATATGAGATTTCCAGCTCGTTCTGTCTTGGAGATCTCAGAGGGGGAATGATGCCTACCCGAACGCGTCGCATTCAGCCAGCTACCGGGGTGCATGTCAACGAACGCCATAAATATATGGTCAAAACAATTCGATAGTAGCAGATATGTTAGCATTCAACTTATAATCAAACGCACCTATACGGCTATATTAAAGGGAATGTTTCACATTCGAGGATATTAAAGTAAGCACCAGATATGATGAAACAAACTCACTTATAACTGTTGGTGTACTTTGAGTAGAAAAGACTGCTCTACGCGGTATTAATTGCTCTGTTCAGTAAATGTGTTCCTAGATGGGTCATTGCTTGATTACGTCATCGTACTTTCTACAACATTCATCGAGAGCCAACTGATGGCCGTTGTATCTGAAAATCTTGCTCGTGAACGCCAGATATGAATGGCTCGACCATTATATTTTTCTGGGCCCTGATCACCGCATGACTTACTAGATATCAATTTGAATGACGTTCATATGGCGCCATGAAGGTGACTCAAGATGATGACCTTTGAAATGGCACAATTTGAATGACGTTAATATGGCATTATGAAGGTGACCCAAGGTGACCCTCAAATACTCTCCCAAATTACCCTCTCACATCTTTGCGGCTTGAGCCCAGGAGCCACAGGGCCTCAAGCCTTAAAAAGGGCATGGCCGTCATTTGCATCAAAAGGTCTTCAATACGGCTCTTTCAGTTCAAAACCCCAGACAAATATAGAACACATCCTTTAAATGGCATGTTGCTGCGTGGCATGGTCTCGAAAATGCGATCACGTAAAGCTAAAATAGTTTGCTTTTCAAAAAAAAAGTTTTTTTCAACCTGCCCTAGTGGGGTGATTAACCATTAACCCAGTAACACAAAACCTATGAATAATCACGAGCCAAGCCATGAGCAATCGTTGAGACTAATGCTCTTTTTTGGGAAACTTTATCGGTTTTAGCTATAAAACGGTGGCAGGCGACCGCTGTGCTCCGTCACTCCGCGCATGAAAAATGGCGAATGAGGGCGAGAGATATCACACATTTTCTGGTAAAAGCGGTTTGTTTTTACATTGATCTAACTTTCATACTTGACTCAAGATAAATGGAGCTCGTTGTAATGCCAATACATAATCCTAACTTGCATAGCTTCATGGTAGGCTTCTTTTACTCTTTCATGCTTACGTGACGTTTGGAACATTGCTGTCACTTCGAAGCAATCCTTCCGCGCATGGCCTTTTAATTGTGCAACTTGTTAGCTGGGCCCTCTCATTTTAAGCTCAAACACAAATGTTTGGAGGACATTTTTTATTTAGATTCAGGCTGCCCAAGCCATTGTGCATTATTTTAACCGCTGGGGATAAACCATATGCTACATTATATTCAGTACAACATTATGCATTCATCCGATTATGGCGCAGAGCGCAACCGCGCTTTTGTGGCCACCGAATTTAACACTTTTGTGACATGGACACCGTACCAACTGACCCGTGTAACAGCCAGGCCCGGTCGCCGCTGTGTCCGTGCACTGTCAGGACGTCCGAAGTCACGCCTGTGTCTCACCTGCGTCACTGGCGGTGCAGGGCGGCGGCACGTCTGGGCGGGGTGGTGACCAGCAGCGCTACCCTGCGACTGTGGGCAGCGAGTCGGCCGGCGGGTGACCAGGGTCCGTCACTGGAGCTGCCGCGGGCCCGGTCGGCCTGTTTATCGAGGCGTCTTCCTTCCGCCTGCTGAGCCAGCACAACACCGTGCGAGCCTGCATCCCGCCTGTGACGCTCCTCACCTGACACGGGACGACCCTGTACTCGTCGTGGACCACGCATGACACCAAACCAACACTAGGTGGCGACGTATCTTAGTTTACGCTGTTGCGATACCGGTGCTGCGTGCCTGTGTTAAATATCATGTGCGTATTTGGCACTAAGCCTCCATTATTGCGACAAGTTGTCGGCTCCGTCCACTGGCAGAGATCGGATGGCCTCAATCAGACAGGCTGAGCCAGTAGAGAGGGACACATGTCAGAGCAAGCATCGACAAGTTCTTTTTTTGTAAAGACACAACAATATCTACCAAAGAATGCGTTTTTGTAACATCCACATGAGCCATTGTGACACTGCGAGGTTCGAGAATGTAGTTCACGGGGGCGCAGCAAGAGCCTTGGTAAGGCAGGTGAGAGGGGGGGGGGGCGCACAGGGTTGACAAGGGCCCCCTGGTGGTAAACGACACGTCTCAAAAAACAAGCTCACCTACATGGCTCACGTGGTTTCGAGGGAGCACGTTTTTCTTCGTTGTATATTTATGTTGACTGTCTGTAACGGGGAACACAAGCCGGGATTTTCCGCAAGATGAAATTGTTTTTATATATTAAAGTCAGTAAAATGAAGTACCCGGGCACTGAATGACTGCATGAAATAAAACACCGGCGCTTTTCATTTTACAATGGTTCAACTAACTGCTTCAAAACCGAAAGTACTCAGAGGCTTCGCCAGAATTGCATGGATTCTACAGAGACTTCGTGGACTCCATGAGCGTAGATTGCAGATCAAAATGGATCAAAAAGTTGTTTAAACATGGGCATGTTCGTCTGAAAATGCGTAATCTTCATTTACAATCGCATAGAGCAAGTACCATTCACGTAGTTTGAGCCTGCGCGCTCATAGGTCTCAGAAACAAAACCCCTGATGTCCGACGTTGCAGTCTTCATAGGCTGTGAGCCGTGGGCCCCGTTGGTCCCTGACACCGGGACAAACAGTTGTATACAATCTGCGTCCCCAAACTGGACCTCTGTTGGGCATCGTGGGTCCCTGACAGACGCAGGGGCACCAGCCGATGCAAATTGCTGGCCTCGGCTTTGTCTGCTTGGGAAATGAGCCGTCAGGTTCTCACTGACACATAGCCGACTGCGTGTACTGTGGATCCTGACCAGCATAGAGACCCATATCAACTCAGGGTTCCTCAATCAGCACAAGGAGCCCTCTGACTGGCATTTGCCTCAGGCCTCAGAACTGTCAGATTTTTGCCTGTCATTCATTGTAATCGTCTTGGCCTTTAAGAACAGCCCGGTCGCTTATCTGGGTTCGAGATGAATATATCTGTCTCGTTTTGATAAATGCGTGTAATTTTTATGTGTTTTTTCTTGTGCAATGTATGTGACGGTAGTGCGGGAAAAGCCACATTGTAGAGGATCCTCAATAGTGTATCTAAATGTCTATCCATCCATTTGAGTGACCTGTCCTGTGGTCTGAGCCCCCTTAATGTGACCTGCAGCGAGCTCCTCGGGCACTGGCCCTCAAATCAGGCCTCAAATCGACCTAAGCGGCGGGGGGGGGGGCGCCCTTGGTACCCCTGTCTGTGCCTGTGGGCGTGCCACTGGTAGTGCACCACAGAGGTTCCCGGTCAACTCCTCTTTGAAGGCCCAGTTTGCCAACTTCTCCAATATGATTTTGACGCTCGCCAAAAGCATAACAAAGACGTGTTCCGTTTACATTTATGGGACGAAAATACAAAGTGTGAAGCTCATTTAGTTGTTCCTGGGCTGTCATTAGTAATGGTTGAAATCCAATCGGCATGAGCGTATATGGGACAATATCTTCCGGCAGCCGCACCAACGCCGACGTCACTGAATACAGTTTTGCGTTTTAGGCTAACAATCCATTACTGGAATCGCATTCAGCAAAAACTCATGCATACCTGTGCCCTTGAGAGCATGTTGAAATGTGCGTACTACCATATGAGTCAAAGCTGAAGTTACCTTGTGTGATGCCGATTCGAAAACAGCTCTGTCGGTAGCCGATAAAAAATATACTGATGCCTCGTGTTCAGATGCTTAGGTTGTTGGGACGGTTTTGCTGACAGATGAGATACTCCGTGCGTGGATCTTGATGGTAAAAGTAAGTTGATCAAATGTGGCGGTGCTATTTACATTGTATTCTATTATACAGTTTATGAACTGCACGTGCACCATGCTTACTGCGAAATGTCATACGAATGTTATGATGACCACATTTTGATACGTAAACATAACCGTGTCCGATCTCATTCCCATGCGAAACACAGTTCACGCATGCACTTAAACACTCTTCTTTCAAGCTCTGTCGGGCCAGCAAACGTCTACGGAATGGTATCGCGAATTTTTCACACTTTTGCCACGGCAACAAGTTTGGCATCAGGAGCCACATGCATCAGGAATCAGGAACCGCTGCATCAAGAATCAGGAACCGCTTGCATCGCATATCACCGACGCCGCAGCTCGGTTCCGTTCTGCATCTGACGCGCTGTGTGTGGAGTAAGCACGGCTACCGGCGCGGGCGCGGAGGCCGGCGACCAGCGTGGCGCCTGGGGCAGACGCAGCAGGGGCTTGGCCCGCGTGTTGTCACTGCACTTGGCCCGCGTGTTGACACCCGCGGCACCGGCCAAACAGCTCAAGAGACGTCCGGCTACAGGCTGTTGAAGGTGGTGTCGTCGTTCCTGATGCCCATCAAGCGGCAGATGCTGGAGTACTTCATGCGGTCGTACGCGGACGCATCCATGCAGCCATAGTAGGAGTTGACCTTGAGACAGTCCTTGACGGACATGCCGTTGCGCTGTCCGATCACCGTGTTGTTGACTCGGGGCACCATGGTCGGCACCTTACGGTCAATGCTGCGACGGAATCGGCATGGTCAGGGTGTTGTTCGCGACGCCGTCTGCGACATGTATTGTGCACCTTTGCTTTATATCACTGGTTCTTACGATGATGCAAGTGCATAAATGAGGCGCAATGTGAGGCGTGGCATCACATCTTTACGAAAACTGAAAGCAAAAAATTGTTGCCGTCGATTTTGCTCCAGCGGGTTTCCCCGTATGTCAGATTATTATAATCCTTGCATTACATGTGCGACTACTGGTGCCCACAAGAAGCCATTATGATAAACAAGGCAGTAGTTCACTTCTACTCATGACGAACGAACGCGTAGGGGTGCAAACGCTTAGCAAAGTTATGGCACTGGAAAGAGCAGGCTTTATGGTAGGGTTAATTTGCTATACGTTTGCTTTGGGTGATACATAGCGAACCACTGCTACATTTAACATGGTGACTCACTTCAAGCGTAGGGCGGCACTAGGAAACCAGGCCGCCGGATAAGCTCATCATGAGCCTTCCGGGTGCGCTGCAAGGCTTTTCCAATCATCATAGAGACGCTTTCGAAATCCGCAGGCTTGAAGTTGAAACTAACCTGAAGAAATGTGTGCCGTAGTGCATCACGCTGGTGAAGTCGTACGTGTACCCGATCGTCGTGTTCTCAGCAGCGTGCTTTGCGAAGTTGTTCAAGAAACCTGTTGATGAATGCGAGATGTATCATATCACGCAAAGCTGCTGCTGGGCCGGGCTTCACCACAGGGAAGGAGAATGACGGAATTGGGTGGCGTCTCTCAAATCATCTGCGGGAGGAAACGTCCTCTCAGCCTTATGGAGACTCTTGAGTAGTTTTTGCACTAGGAAAACTGGCTTCGCAAAAGTGGGTGGCGAAGTTTTCATACCGTAGTTGCGCGTTACGACGCTGACGAAGTTAATCGAAGTATTTGGCAGAGCCACGGCTTTCATAACACACCGCGCGGAGTGCCACAAAGACGCTTTCCAGATACCGCTCGGATGCTCATTGGCTGTTTCTGTAAAATACGAACTGCACCAGCACACAGATGCACTATTCCATGATGGGTCGGGGCCAGTGGCGCGGGAACCGGGGGGGGGGGGGGGGGGGAGAGAGGGACAGCTTCAGCCTAGACCTCGTTTACCTCACAGAAGCCCGCGGTGACACCCCTGGCAGCAGCGTTGACTACAGACAGCAATGAAATTAGAGAGATAATTAGAGAGATATGGCATACACAGTGGCGACGAGGATGGTTTCTTTGGGGCTTATGAATACGTAACAGCATTCCAGGCACCGAAAGATTTAAACTCGGAGAATCACTGATCCTGGCTCAGTAAACAGATCGGGGGCGCGTTCCATGAGAAAACCCCAAATGGCGTTTCTTGGCCATTTTTTACGTTGCTTTGGCATGCTTTATCAGCTTCGACGCCCGGCGATATCGTGGAAGACCGGTACACGTTATGGAAGCTCCTATCTCAGGTTCGAGTTAATGCTATCTCTATGTATTTGCGACTGTTTCTTGAAACACATGAAATGGAGGTATTCACACATTTTCAACGACAACGTTGCACGCAGGTGTATATAAAGACGGCGGCGGAAGGGGCAACTGGTTGCCGACCAATGTCCGCCAAGGCTGCAGACGACTGACCCCATGTTGCTGCACGCAAAGCTGGCTTACAGACAGGGGGCCACTTTCTAAAAGCTGAGCCAGTATAGTTGACTTAACGTATTTCTAAATCCTGGTTTCATCCCGGATTTTGGTCACTTGATTTGATTTGCGTTCCCGATGTTAAAAGTGTCATTAGATACCTATCCCGTCGGTGCCAAAATTGTTTTGATGTTGAGGATATTCCATCTCAAGCCGATCTTATTAAGATAATAATGGCACGTGATGATGATGACATGGTAGTTATGTATTTAGATGCTTAGTGCACCAGCAATTCGAGCACTTCCTGCATTTCATTGACTCAGTACTCCTGTTTTCCTCGTACGCATTGGGAGGGGGCTCAGAAGAACGTTGAAGAACTCAATATTGGAGGATGGGTGGTGCCCAGACCCCCGAAAGAGCACAAAGCGACCCGCCTGCTTAGAGATGAAATCCGCCCCTATCTTCCACATGCGTCTCAGGTTGTCGCGTCAGGTAGCACGCCAGCCGGAGGTCAAATTGGTGAGGAAATTATGACGAGGTCTGGGCTCCATCCCTCCCCTAATGAATGATGTTGAATGCATCCCGAAACATTGCAGACACAATCGTCCGTAGAACTAAACAAGTCCTCATATACTTGGTCAGGGAGTCGGTTCCGTTGCTCAGGGAAGCAAGCCCGCTGTCAGTTGTGCATGCTGTGAGCTCACTATAAATGTGTCTCCAAGTATGGATATGAGTCTTGAACGCCTGAATTGTTTTGCCATTCACATTGAGTGACAAATTTTATTTGCGCGTGAACAACGGCTATCATAATGCTCTTGACATTTCACTTTTCCGCATTACAGATCTAAGCGGAGGGATTCCCAAAGTGCATTGTGTAAAGCGTTTGCGTAAATCACTGCACGTCGGGGAGAGCAAAGATACGGGGCTCGATTCCCCGTGGTGCCCGCCCCTCCTGTCAGGGTGAGAGGGGCAGGCGACGCTATACAGCCTAAGCAGTTGAATGCCTCGTCAAGCCCAAATGACAACGACGACGAGTCTAAGTGAAACGTGGTTCTCCACTGCTCCGGATAGGGGCTAGAAAGGTTTGGTTGAAGAAAATTTGACTGATACGGTTACGCTCTCCAGCATATGTCACGTAGAGCATATGTTGCTGCTTTATACGCTGTAGGTTTGAAGAGCCATTCCATCAAAGAGGACCCCCTGCGGCCGAGCATTCTGCGGAATTGATAGTGGGCGGATAAGACATCGGACCCTGTGGATGATGATAGGCGAGATCTGCTTACCCCTGAAAGCAGTACGGATGCAGGTAGTGGGAGCAGAGGGGCCGTGGCACCACGCGGGGGCGCGCACTGGAGCGGGGGCCGGCGCACCGCAGATCAATGTCCGCCAAGATGCAACACTGTGCCGACATTGTGGCCGCCAACAATAGAAACGCCGAGTGTCAACAGACAGAGCGCATGACGGGTGGTGGGGTGCGGGCCCATTCGGCTGGCGTCATCAGTGGAGCGCCGACTGCTGACGCTGGCGGCGTGGCGTCACCGCACCCTCGGTGCGGCGGGCCGCCAGCCCGGGCCTCCCGCCGTAAGGCGAGCACAATGCTCCAAACCTGACTCCGGCAGCGAGCGACCCAGTGACGGCCGTCGTTGGGGATGGAGCAATGCCCGCGCTCTAGCTGCTGAGGCGGGCAGACGCGACGCGCCCGCTGCCCCCTCGGCTTTCTCGCTGGCGCGCTCACGTGGGATGACGTGCTTCTTGATGACGAACACGTGCTGGTCGCGGTCGAAGCGCGACTGCTCGTGGAAGAAGCCGAGCGCGTGGATGATCTCATGGATGGGCTTGCCGATGGAGATGAAGCAGCGCTTGGACTTGCTGTCCGGCGGCTGCAGAGAGACAATCTGGGCGCCACCCAGCTTCCCGATGAACGACCAGCACCTGGCGAGTGTGCACGAGCTGGCGTCAGGTGCCGCCGGCGGATCTCACAGTCTTGAGGACACAACGAGACACATGATATGAGGTCAGAGCTTTTACGCTGAGCTGTCGGCCTTTATTATACCCGTTAGTAATGCTTAAGCGACGTCAAGAAGTAAACATTGGCTATATTGTTCATAGCCGATTATTCAAGATGCACGAGGGAGGACGCAATATACAGGATATTTTTGCGTCCTTTGAGCAGGGACTTGAACACCTGAATCAGGTTTGACCACCTGTAATCCCTCCTATGAATTTTTTCATGTAGGAGTAACAAAGCGCAGCATTCGTGGCCGATTTAATGAGCGAATTGGAGATACGCGTTTACAGAGAGAGTAAACACCACTTGGAAAGCCCTTGGTGGACCACTACACAGCAATGGAGCATAATGAAACAAATACTAACTTCCAAATGCAAAGCTTAAAAACAGCTACAAACAACGGGCATCAAGATCTTCTAATGCTGCCGATACGTAGCCTTCGTCCGATGCTGAGCAGACAAGCGCGCCATGGACCTGGTTTGGGCAGCGATAACAAGGTTAAGCACGTTTAAAGACGGTTCTACGCTTGTTGTGATGAGCACTGATGCCAGCTGGCAAAGTTATTTTTCTCGTGATGCTCGGTGCGCGAGTTAAAACGTTTTGTCTAAGCCGTTTGTGTTTCGGGCAGCTCTTTACAGTACTTTGTATTGGGAGCGTGGGTTGCGAAAGCCTGAATACCAGTGATGTTCGTGAGATTCGTGTAATTTTCGTGGTGTCTGATGTTCATAGTACGTAATTTTCCAATCTTATATCGGTATAGGTCATTGTAAACTATCGGCTTAGCTGCCTGTGTCTCATGCAGACCTTAACGTAGAACTCTGTATCGGTTTCTAAGATGTGAGAGTTTGGATGCTTCGCTGTTTTGGCATCTTTCTAGTGGCAACGTCTGCATAGATTCGGAGGATTTTCGGAAATCACCTGCCTTTGTTTCATGTGCATCTCTTTGCATAACTTTGCCCAAATTTCTTCATTTGTGATCTCGTGTTCCGTTACGATCCGTCAATCTCGTAATTGTTGTTGTCTTGCGTATATCTTGATCGTCAGCACAGCTTGAAGCACTGAATAGTGGAAATAAAGTCAAGCTTTGCCCTATGAAATCGTTTAAACCAGTATCTCCTGGTATATGGTACAAATGATATTAAGCAGTATTAAGCAGAGTAAGTTGGTGATGGCTCGCGTCTGTGGTGTGCTGACGGCTTAGGTACCTGTCGGAGCTTATGAAAGCTCGTCAGTTCAGCAATTCGGAGTGCCGTTATTTTTTAGTGTTATTTGAAGGTATTGCTGCGACGATACGATCATCACCGATGGGAACCGGGTGAAGGTCGCCGAGTTATGGCAGCATGTTTCATTGGGGCGCAGACTGCAGACGCATGAGCAATTCACGCTGCCTGTTGAGCCACTTACCAGCAAGGGAGCGCGGAAATGTGACTGAAGGAACGGCCAGCCTGTGCCAATAACAGATGTGTCCCCAAGCGGACTAGAGCGCTGAGGGCTCCCAGCGCGCCTTCAGTGCCGGCCAACACGCTGAGGGTTGGTACAGCTGACTTACCCAGCAGGCTTCTTGACGGGCCATATAACCAGGTAATCTTTAACCTTGCCGTCCCAGGGGACAAACTTGATGCAAGTCATAAAACTAAGTATGTCTAGGGCGTCCTCTATAAACATCCTCTGCTTCATTTCTGAAAAAAAACACAGCACATCTCATGGCGTTTGGTGAAACCAATCTCCACTGTCAGGGAACAAGCCATCTTCACGAACATATGCAGTGAGACGAAAAGGTTTTGGACACGGGGTCACAAGGGCTAAATCTTTGATGCACTATGATGACATTGTTTCTTTTAATGGTATGAGGTTTGAGAAACATAGATCAGAGCCGCTGAAAAATAAAAAATTCACATAAATTCTTGCGATATGCACGATTCACACTAAGCAATTAAACTCTGTTTTGTCAGGGTTTCCGCTAAGGCAGGCTATGTGTTGTCATGGTTATATTTTCGCTGTCAATTTTTGACGTGTATAAAACATTGCGTCTTGTAGAGCGGAACCCGTATAAGTAACCGTGTATTGTCTTTCTTCGACGATGCCCTGTAAAATAGACATTGCACACATTCCAGGAGGTGAGCGAAAGAGCAACGGCAAATACCGGGAACATTGATCACAACGCCAATCTTACCGTATTTGGGGCTGATGATATATGGCACCACGTTGGTATCCCACTTGCGTGTGGGAAATATCTCCGTGTTGAGAGCGACACGGAACTGCGCTATCTGGAAATATAAGTAAAATGTCCAACCGCTTGTTCACAGCCACGCAGACACCGTACACGCGTTGCTCTCGGCGATCCATACGTTGACATATCGCTGTCTGCAAACCGTCCTGCCACGCTTAGTGATTTAAGGCGAAAACATTTTAGGTGTTGTTGATCATCTCACATGCTGTTATGGTTAAGCGCGCCGTGCCTCAAACATCCCCTTCCAATGCCAGCCGCAATTTTTCGGTGATTCTCATTGACAGCGTGCTGCCTTCTTACAAGTTTTGTTGAACATTCGGCGTTACAAATTCCTTTGCCACTGCACTATCCAAATTATAAATGCACGACATGTCTCTATTTAACTATGCGAAAAGGCAATCGAAGATGTAAAGAAGATCTGGTGATTAAGCTTGATAATGCGTAACTCTAAATGTGCTGCTCATTGAGAAACGACCCTATTATTTGTACTCTGTCGACGGTGATCGCGGGTCAGGCTGCAGCACCTCTCCACAACATGACGCCTGCAAACGGTCTAGCCGCAATGACCGGCCTGCCTGGTCTGGGTGCTCCAAACGAGATGGCGATTCAGGCGTTGTTTTGTTACTGACGCGTGACCAATTAGAACACTGGTTGAACATCAAGCTCGTTGTTCCTTCGTTTCAGTGAAAAGTCTAATAATCGTAAGCGATCTAACTGCGTCCCACCTCATTGGGTATATAAGCGATGTCGCCTTCAAATAGGCCCGGAGACACCTCAGGATCGGCGTCATCGAGCTCGCCGTCCAGATCAAACGGGTTGTCCAGATCAGGACCTGTAACGACAGTCGATATTGCTGGTCAGGGGAGCTCAAACGTCTCTTATCTAAGCTCTACTCGCATGACGTTAAACATCTTCACCCATGCATTGCATAACACCAGGAGCGCCGCGTGCCCGTACGAGTACCCCTCTGGGGCGTACCTAGAATATTTCTGAACTCGGCTGAGCCAGATGCGGCCCTGAGTTTGTCAATCTCCTGGCGGTAGGAGTCCTCTAGAAGCTGGAGCTGGAGGTCTACATCCTGCTGCGTGACGCTCCTGGAGCCGGCCTTCAAAAGCACCGACAGAAGAAGCACCATCAGCCTCTGGAGGCGCTCCGACAACCGCATCTGGTGGTCAGAGCGTCACGATGAGCACACCGTGCGCATTTGGAGAGACGTAACACACATCAACGCTGGGTAAAACAGTGTAGCCCGAGCATTTTTGGAGCAAGGGTCGCGCTAGAGTAGTGTCTCTGGTCTCCGTCACGTATAAGACGGCGCAGTACAGGTTTTTTTGAAAGGGTGGGCTCGTTCGATCCTGACGTCCCATGGTGGCACTGTACCGAACTAAAAGAACCACGAAAGTGCGTGAGCGAGAACCCCCTCACCAGGCGCCATGTGAGGAGCGCGGCGGACCTGCCGCGCCGCCAGGCCGGGTGTATACCGCGTCGGCCCCTTGCTCTGTATCTGGTCCCCGCTTCTTCCCCACCTCGGTCGTGGTATTTCTAGCTAGTCGTGGTAGTCATTACACTCCCTTTGTTTGCCGTACTATTTTGTTCTGGGCAATGTGATCATTGTTTTGACTGAATCTTGATCCGCCTTGTGTTAAAGTAAGTGTTGAACATTGGAAAATGTTGAAGCAAGCCTCAGATATGATGAAGTAAGCTCACTTGTAGCTATTGGTATACTTTTTAGTAGAAAAGACTGCTCTAGACAACACATTTTCTCTGTTAAGTAAAAACGTTGAGATTGCCGTCACATCTGGAAATCACGCTTATGAACGCCAGATGTGAATGACTTGACAGTTATGTTTGCATTGGCCTTGATCGCCGTGTGGATGATAGAATGACCGGATTTGGATGCCGTTATTATGGCTTCATTGATACCTAGGGAAACTTGAAATAATCTTCTCGAAATAGTCTGCACGTCTTCGTGAGTGTGTAGCACAGCAACTAGATGAGCTTAGGTCTTCGGAAGGGCAAGGCTATGAACTGCACCAAATGATCTTCAACGTGGTAATTTCAGTTCAACCCCCCCCCCCCCCCCATATAAATGCGAAACACTCAGCTTAACTAAATCGCAATTCGGCTTGTTTAACTAATTCCTCATTTGCTTACATGCATTTTGTAAATGTTTTCTTAAATGTCTTTCTGTAAAATCTGTCTTCCGTCAGAATACAGAAATGCATCTTTCTCCGTCTTTTAGCTTGTTTCAGTAAAAGGCGGTACAGAAGTTGTTAAGTGCATTTGCTAGGAACGTTATTCACATAGATAAGACAGTAGTAATAGCCTCATTCTTCTGGAGAAAAACAGGATAATGGAGATATAGATGCGGTGGTATTTCAGCGACGTGCCTTGATCGAAACAATAGCAGAAGACTTCTGCTATTGTTTCGATAAAGGCATGTTGCCGAAGTATCAACGCATCTATATTTCCATTCTTCCGTTGTTTTTTTCTCCGAGGGATGAGGCTATTACTTATTTAAACTCTTCTCTAATTTGTATTACGTATTTAAACACTTATCTAAAAGACGGTACATAGTAAAATAAAAAGAATAAAATCGTGCCCCTCAAAATCAGGTGAACCATGCCTGGTAATATTTTTGGGGGAACGGACCTTCCACCAGGAGAGGTCGTTTGTCAAACCTGTGTCCCTCCCCACCTACCAAGACCATGGATGCACCCCTCCCCCCCCCCCCCCCCACACACACACACCAGCAATTTGTCGGGCCTCGCCTGGGCAGATTTTACAGCAGCGCAGCCCGGTCCTGGCGGGCCACGGCCCTGCCAGGACCGATATTCTTGTATGAAATGGATTAAGCTGTGGTATTGACCAGGTAGAGCCCAGATCATGCCCAGCGGAGCATGTAGTGCATTTTTTCTTGAATGACGTTGCAGAATGTGAGTGAGATCTGGTTGGGCTCGAGCCAGTTATCCAGCAGAATTCACGTTCTGGCGTAGAATTTACCAGCGGTCGCACCACAGTTGCTTTCGCACGAGCGGTGGTGTGAGTGCTGTGGATGTCGTTGTGCGCGGCTTTTCTATTGTGTGAGCTGGTAAACCAAATCACAGTGTGTTGAACCGTACGAGCATCTAGACAGGCTGACTGCATATTCTTGGGACACTGGTCGGCAACGTGCAGCAGGACCAGGTGAGTCCAGAAATCATATTTGAACTGCAGATAGAAAAATGGGTTACATGGTCAGTTCCCAACAAATTCTGAGCTACAACTTATCAACTTAACTACATTACCTAATGTTGATGATTAGGAATTAAAAGAGCACTCGGCATGCGGATCCCGGTCTTTTCGAGATCCTGTTCAGTCAGCCAAACAGCTTCATTTTGACGATGTGGTCACTGCGGACTGTCGCACATGGTGCCAGTCCAGCATGGGTCGAGCCTAGTTTTAAACTTTTCAGTTTCGGATGGCGATGAAATTGTCGGTGGAAGGGCGTTCCAATCATTTACGACCCAGAAGCTGAATGAGTCCCGACGGACGAGGGTCCCGTTTTGAACGCTGCACAGTTTACTTTGGTGCCGTTGTTTCACTTCAGAGCCGTGTCACGTCAGGAACTCCGGCACGCATGTCTCCGTGAAGCATCTGGAACACCGCAACCGTATCTCCCTTGTGACGTCGGTAGTGCAGCGAAGGCAGTTGAGGAGCCCTTCCTCTCGAACAAGACGTGCACCTCCCCGTTGGACCCGTTGTAGCCTCTCCTGATCCAGCCTGCCGAACGGACCCCAGGTGATGACGTCACACCCTCGAATAGTTACCCCAAAACGGGAGTATCGTGGTCCTCACAACAATAGCAGCGTGAAGACTCCAATGTTGAGAAATGTCAGTGTCACGACTGCCAGCATCTGGGTGTACTTAAGAACCACCTACGCCTTCTGCACGGTCTCATGCAAGGTCTGAACCCTGCATGGGTCTCCACGAAAATTCCAGGGTACTTTTCAGCGGACACGCCTGCGATTTCGGCGCTGTGCAGCAAGTAGGTCGGTCGCGGATTGCAAGTGCTGGTGTGCGCTATTTTGCGCATGGATGTGCTGAATGAGAGGAATCGTACTGTGACCATGTGATCAGGTCATCGAGGTCAATATGGAGAGGAGAAGCGGTCAGGGTCCTCAGAGCATCACAGAACACCTTCGTACCATTCGTAAACATCTTGGCCGCGCCTCGCACTTCTGGTAATCGACGAAAATAATAAACAGGATTAGTCTCAGCACCAATGTTTGAGGGGTACCGCTGGCGACGTTGGTCCAGCCAGATTTTGAGCTATAGACCCACACTCTGCTACCATATGCTACTATATCTGCTACTATATGGACCCACACTCTGCTACCATATGCTACTATATCTGCTACTATATGGACCCACACTCTGCTACTATATGCTACTACATCTGCTACTATATGCTACTATATCTGCTACTATGGACCCACACTCTGCTACCATATGCTACTATATATGCTACTATGGACCCACACTCGGCTTTAACTTTACGATCTCACCTACACCTTAAAAGAACTGCGTGATATTGCAGTCTATTTATCGTCCAGATTCGAGGGTTGTGCTTTTAAACTGTTATATGATGCTTTTAAGCCAGCACACACATGACCGATTTGACATGACAAGGAAATATTTACCCTTCCAACACTAGTATCATTAGACAGGGATCTTATTTGATACCAGATCATTTGATTTGATACCGTCAGGTACATCAAAATGGATAGCAAACGTTATTTAGAGCGATGCAAAAGTTAAATTATATGTTACCAGCCGTGAGCACCTCCGCTGCAACGCAGCATTGCTGGATGTTACTACAGTGCCATCTATAAACGGTATGCGGGCACAAACAGATCATGTGCCGATCTGTTTGCTTATCAGATCTGGCTTGTGTTTGCGTTGCAGAGCCTCTTGAAAAATATGACGGTGGAAGTGGTGATAGCAAGTAATGATCACTGACGGAGAGCGTACAAAAAATGGCAGTCGTACCAGGGGAATTAGAGGTATTGCGTTATAGCACATGCACTACAATTCAAAATGATTTTTCACTTTTATCCTTAAAAAGCGTCTTATATTCGTAGGCTGCAGGCACGTTATGATTCGTTCATCACCTATCCGGATTTGAAATCCAGGCACGGAAGACAATAAATGTGCTAGGCCATTTTGGGGAGAATATTGCAGAGTGATGTTTTAGAGGCCTTGAATCATCGCACGAGCTTTGTAACAATATAATCCTTCCGATGTGAGGTGCGTTCATTATGGCAAAATTTGGGAATATGACCCAATAGTAAAAATCGGAGTGAAGAATTATGTTTTTCTGCAAAAAGTCTTGTCAGGATAGGGGGAGTTACGCCCCCCCCCCCCCACCCACCCCCCTCCTTATCCAACGATAGAGGGCACGTTCTGCCCTCCACAGGTGCCGCCACCCCCATCCAAAATCGGCCGCAAGTGATACCAAGGTGTGTTATACATTACAAGCAGCATAATTTGCAGTTTCCATTGTTAGGGGTGCCCATGGTACAGCGTGCGCGGAAAAAAATATCGTCTTTGCATGCGTAGTTATTGTCAAGACAGTCATGAAGATGTAAAGAGAGGCATGTTGCGCTGCGAGTACTTCCGGCCAAGATTCTACGTGACTTCACGAAGAATAAAATGTTATTGGTGCGCTGCAGTACATTCCGCTCCGATGCTACATTCTGATGCGCTGCGAATGCATCCCACGGCTTGGGCATAAAACCTTTATATGGCTGCTACTAGCTCAAAGGGATATGGTATCTTGTATTTGAAGGGAAAACGGCGCATATGTCTCGATAGTGGCGGCAATTGAAAGCGGTGGTTAAACGGTTTTCGTGGAGCTTGCGGAATCGAAAATCTGTGATTTCGCATTAGATCTGGGTATTGTGCCAGGAATAGTTACGTGTTGCTGTTTTTACCTCGTCCAGGAAAGAGGTGCGTTTTGTGCAATTACGTGTGTTGAGTGGACCTGTATCTAGTCAATCGTGTGTGTTAATGCTCTGGCAATGTGCGAATGAGCAGTGACTTTCGTTGGCTGCTGTGAGGTATGCTATGTGTTCATGTCCTAATGATCTTGACAGTGTGGACGAGCCTTTAACTAGTATTGTTCTGTCTCACGGTGTGCTATTTTCACTTGTTCCTATTGCATGTGTACATATTCGGCATCTATGGGCATGTTTTTTAAGCATCAGCAGTGAGAAGCAAGTGCCGTTGCTCCTCCCCCCCCCCCCCCCCACCTCCCCTGCAGCAGACTACAAAAAGGGCATGTCAGAACATGAGGAAGAAGAGCAACTATTTCAGTGTGTGTAGTCTGTAAATCTGAGCACCCAGATATGGGCACATGGTCACCACAAATTTAAGGGCTTAGAGCCATTGTATTAAGGAGGTAGTATGTTGCAACAGTAAGTTCAGACAAATAACTTAAAATGTTAACTGTTAATGTTAAATGTCAAAAATGTTAAAAGAAATAATTTGATAAACCACAAATTGTGTCTCTGGCTCATGCAAGTATGCGCTGAAGCACACCAATTTGGTGCGGGCATCCAACACAGTAGATGGATTTTCACAGACCATCTCTGAAGAACTGCGAGCTGCATGACTGTGTTGTGGCAATCACAGTCTCATTGCTGAGAATCATTTGCTCTAGATCTGCATTTCCTCAGCAGGCTCATCCCCATCCAGGAGCATTGTTTTGGCCTCCAAATACTTCATGGACATGTCATCATATTGTTCTGCCCATTAAACTATTATATGGTTTGTGTTTAATTGTTGTTGCATTGTGCTGTTATTTGGTTTCCTCCATTTACTTAACTGTTAATGAAACTGTGCTGTGGGCATTGTATGCACCACTCTGGTGCTTGGTCTAATCAATAGCATGTTTCCTCTGAAGCTACAGTTAAAGGTATAAGCTTTGCCAGCATCCATTAGACCATTCTTGTGATCACTGTAAGGTCATGATTTATGGAACTTATATATGGATTTATGGAGTGGGGTTGGTATGCAGGTGCATTCCTAACATGCTAGAAAAATATAAATAGTCTATTGTCATAATGGAGTCTATTGTCATAATGGAAAAATGGAGTAAAATGTCATCTGCACCCCCAAGATTTGCATGCCCATTTTGCTTCTGTCATTACTCCATCATCTGTGGGTTCCACTTTTCCTTATGTTTTAAGAGCTACATTGCTCAACAAATTTCCTTACTGAACAAGCCTGTAATTATATTAACATAACTGGATGTTCAGAACCTGTCCTTTGCACATATATGGGTAGCAGACAATGATGTTGCTCATAATGAAGTAGCTTAAGATACATAATGATATAAAGTAGCAAATGCACAATCATACATATATCAACTGAAAGGTGTTATATTATGATAGGTGTTTTGTCCTTAATGCAAAAAAAAAGACTGGAATTGCAGCCCAGTGGTCATTTTGTAAAATGGTGTAATTTCTTAAGAACCCAATAACTGCATTTGTAATGTTTGAAGAGCGATATGGCCAGTAGCCCAGCCATGTGCTGAACCAAGTCAGGTGACTTAACCATATGTACTACTGTAAATGTGCTTTTTAAGGATGTGGTCTTCCTAGTAGTGCCTGCAGTGGGAACACCACCCCATCCATGATTGGAAGCATCACCATCCACTTGCAGGACAGAGGCACACTTGCACCAACCAGCACCACAGTTAACGTTAGAATTACTGACCATGAACACCAGGCATCACAAGCATTCCTCGAACACCCCGAACATTTCGGCCATTTAGACTCACGACGTTGCACACAATTCATGGCACGGTGCTAAGGGCTGTCCGTGACACAAACATCAAGCTGAAAGGGTGTAACGAGTCGCGCGGAGTATAGAGATGAAAGGAAACCTGCCGGCGGGCACCAGCGCTCATCGCAAGTAATAGAAAACTGGTTCTGAACGCGCAATACGTAATCAGCGTTGCTTAAACCAGGTTACAAGACGATGTTCGTTTGACGACATTTGACGTCGCTGAATTTTCCTGCGGAGGCGCTCTCGGACATTGGAGACGGGAGCGCGCTGGTGCAAGATATATATATATATATATATATATATATATATATATATATATATATATATATAGCTTTTCTAGTTTCCATGAACCAACGGCGCAGGTTTAACGTTTCCATAATGCACGCGCTGTGTCCATCTTTTAAAAACAGGTAAGATTTATCACCACAGGTGGGTCCTAGCTCGTGCTTTTCGGAGGGCTGCACGCGATGTGATGTCAAATCAAACTAAAGGTGTACGATAAACCTGCGTTATATTTAGGGATGAGATGAAGGTAGGAAATGTATATATGCAGGTGTATGCACCCACCATGCGGTCTATGTGTAATGCATATTTGCTTGCCGGCTTCGCACTGGCTTAGCTCCCACATCTTCAATAGAAAAAGTAATTTCTTTGAAAGTATCTAGTAATTACACGAACGGCGCGCATTGCTTGAGTATCCTAGTGCACAGCAGGCCTTTCCTACATGGTGACCTAAGCTCGTCATTTCTTCAAGCAGCGCAGGGCAGCAGTGCCATCCGGGCAGACGTCAGACATTCGTATATTGTCCAACGGACCTCATTCTCAGTTTGGCAGCATGTACAACGAAGACACTGTCGCCACCTATACAATTATGAGTCACCGCAGGTCAGCGATGATGCCGCCAGGGCCGACCGAAACAGATCTGCGTACTGTCAGCTCTGGGTGTGCGTTGTTCGCCAGCACTTCTAGAACTGAGCGGCGGACCCGGCTTACTTATGCCGGTCTGAATGTGTTTGTTGTGGGGGGGGGGGGGGGGGCGAAGCCCGCCTGGATCGTATGTTCAGGAAAACTATGCGGGCACCGCCCAGAATGGACCTCTTGGCTGGGCCTGCCGGCATGCTCGGCAGCTCTCGGCGTCTTTCACGTTCCGGCAGAATTCCAAGATCCGCGAGGCTACGCGGGGCCTGTCGTTGTGCGCACAGCACGCCAAATCGCGCTGTCTGCAGCAGTCACTCAAAGGGCTTAAAAAGCTAGTTTAAACACGATGGCGGTATGGAAACTACGCGTCGAGCCGATGGAATGGGAGCGTGGCACTGTAAAATCATCGGGACCCCGAGATCAATGGGCTCCCAAAACGCGAAGATGGGCAGGCATCACAAAAACCCGTCTACGTGGCGACCTTTCGGGTAGAGCGCATTCCAATGAGTCCGCGTCCAGAAGATCAAAGACGAGGATGGCGTTTGAGAAGCCATGGCGATCGCAGGATGCAGTGTCACGCTTCGGGCGTAGTTGTCCTCTCAAAAATATTTTTGGGACTGAAACACCTATTTTTCACCACAAAATTTCGGTAAGTAGCACTGAGTCGCATAACTTTCCCACGTCCTTTGTCTGCCGCAGTAAGGAACAGTGTTTTGACAGACTTGTGGATGGATATCTTGTCCAGTTAAGGTGTTAGACATTCTGTCTATCCTTCTTTACACTTCTTGAACAGCCGGCAATGGGCAGTTACCAAAAGGCAAAGAGGCTGGGAGGAAGACAATTACAAGGCGTTGACCGTGTAAATATAGACTTGGAACACAACCACATAGGTTGTTTTGAACAGATTTGCAAATGCCTAATCGTGTCATGCGTGTAGAGGGTCATTTGGGACATCCGACGGGAGGGATATAACAAGACTCGAGGGGAATGATAATTACGATTTCGATCAGCTGCGCCGTCTCGCCAGGGCTGCAGGACATTGCCATTTTGACTGCGCCATTATAGCCCCGACCCGGTCAGCACGGGCATCGTCACAAGGCAAAAAGTGATGGACCATGCTGCCTTTGCCGGCTTCGTGTCGCAAGATGGCGTCAATCGCGTCCACACCTTAAGTATTGAATGTCGCTCGCACTTAAACGATGACCGCCACGCACGATGGGTGGTCTTCGCTCAACCATGGCTTGGATGACCAGTCAGCGTCCCAGCGCTTTTCCTCATGCGCTCCAGCACCACTGGCACGAGCGCATGACACAACAGTGATCGACATGATCGCAAACCAGATGTCAAGACACAAGACGTTTCCTTGTTTTCCAGTTCGAAGAATCTCTGAGAACTGCGGCGTTTGGAGAGAAGAAAAAGGAAGCTGTTGATCACCAAATCAGGTATGGTCCAATCATCTGGATTTGTGAGGATGTTCTTCGTGGCTGGAGCTGCATGTCTTCGTCTTACATAACGGGCGAATTATCAGCGCAGAAAAATGTAGAACCACATTGTCCACAGCTCGTGATAACTGAGGCGGCTCGTAAGAAGTAGACGGGGCATCTGGGTAGCCTGTGTGCAAGGCAGTTTGCATGACCACTGGCGAAGCTATTGACCGTGTTGAAGACAGGCCGTGATGGGTTAACGCGTCGGAAATGCATACAGTTTTGCGCATTTCCTGTGCTCAATTCCTTATCTTTACATAGCACACTGTGCCGACGGAATGCGTTCTTCGAAGGCGACGTGGGCCGACAAACATATTGTTTTAAATATCCCGTTAAGCATTCACCGAGCAAGCAACACGAGGCGATGTGAGCGGAAGTGGTAACGAGCTGTGTACGTAGCTTTCAAGCGGGGAAATGGTCCAACTGGCCAGGAGCATGGTCCGTGTATGCAGAACCTTGGTGGCCGATCGACCAGGGGCTGGATCGTTATCTTTTGGACAGAGGCTGGATCTGTAGTCTGTGGTCTGTATCCTCTGGACAGCGGGTGAATCGGTATCCTCTGGACAGGGGCTGGATCTGTGTCCTCTGGATGGGGGCTGGATCTGTATCTGGAGAACGGCTGGACCTGTATCTAGAGAGCGGCTAGATCGGCGTGCTCAGGACAGAGGCCGCATCTGTATCCTCCGGGGAACGGCTGGATCTGTTTCTAGCGCGGCTGGATGAGGGTCCTCTGAACTGGTACCATCTGGGCGCCTGGCCCCAAAGCTCGTGTCCCCGGCGGCCGTCAGGGTTTAACGCCGAGGAGCGGTAGCCGGTGTCGGACTGAAATTGGCACTCTAGGGAGGAGGAGAACACGACTGTTGATTGAAGACATCCACCAATTAAAGCTGTAGGATCGTCACTGGTGCCTGGGCGCGGGGAGGTTAGTCCCCGACGTGCGCCCGCCCACTGGCACGCCTGTCTGTCCCTCCCGGACAGGCGGGATCCTCTGCTGGCCCGCGGCCGCCCGGTCGGTGGGTCGCATGGTGATGGCCCGATACCCGATGCTATCGGGAACTCGTGACCACCGTGCGTTTTGTCCCGATACCAGACGGCTTTAGATCCCCGGGCGGCCGATGTGACGCGGGGTGGGCCGTGATCAGCGGGGCAGATGAGCTGCGGCGGGGGGCGGCTCTGGCGCCGACAATGACGCCCTGCAGCTCATCGTCTGATCGGCGAGATGGCCTGGCCCCGTGACCGGTCTTACCAAGGCTGTCTGCGTCACGTCTGCGTCACGGAGCGGCGCCGGGCGCGCCGCAGCTGATCCGCCCGCGGATACCCCAGCCCTCCGAACATCGCCAGCCATGGTCGCCGCCCAGCCTTGGCCACTGATCAGCAGCACATGTCGTCTGGGGCGGTGGTAAGCTAGACGTGATTCTGTGCTCTCGGAGGCACGGAGCTGTGTAAAAATTGCTTGCTATGTCGGACAAGATCTGACTTTCACTTTGTTTGTGTGCGGTCATAACTTCGGGGCTGCTCAGAAGCTAGTGCATGTGGACGACGCCAACCTTAGAAGTCGATCAGTCAGACCGTTAGGGATAAGCCGATTTATTCAGACAATGGAGTGATCGATGTCAATTCAAATTCCACTGCCAGGGATGGACAAAACCATTTTAAGAATACTAGGATACCAGTTTTGCGCGATGCACAATCTGAACGCATCGTTTTGATGGTGGAAATATTTAAACTTGAAATACTCTTGTGCGTTGATTATGTCACCAGTATGCTGGCTCACTTTATGCTAACTTTTATCGTAGCTCATTTTATTGTCATTTCAGTGGAAAATAAGCTTCAAAGGTATGACAATTCTGAAAGAACGGGCGGCTCCATGACATGTACGGTTCTGTGATTAAATCAAGTTGCGTTTTCTACGAAAATGTTGCGATCCCTCATTGGGCCTGCTGTCCTGCTGTTGCGATCCCTCTTCCGGCCTACTGTCCCGCTGTTGCCATCCCTCTTTAGGCCTGTTGTCGTGCTGTTGCGATCCCTCGTCCGACCTGCTTTTCTGCTCATAATCAGTCTGAAAAAGCTCATAAAAAGTCTGATGTCCTCGTACAGCAGCAGGCCTTCGGTAGCAAGCTGACAAGGGCAGCATCAATCCAGACGGCGCCCGTCAGCAATCCGAAACTTACCCCACACCCATCAACGACGCTTCAGATAATAGCGACGGCAGAAAACGCCAGTGCCAGCTCGATGCTGAGTGTATCCCGCAGTCCAGACCCCCCTCCCCCGGACCTGGCAGAACCGGTCTGGCACTCTGCAGTAAGTGCTGAGGGATCCTTTTGAAGCCGCTTGGGACAGGAGGCAAATCGGAGGGACACGGGGTCATGGGATCAGCACAGTTGTCACAGCCCAGTCGGCTGTGAATTATACCCGCCCAAAATTGGCGCTTACACCGACACTGGGCATGGTCACCAAAAACTGAACCATTCTTAATTGATTTGCCTCGTGATTGACATTGCCAGGTCTTGGCAGGCTCCATCCTGTGCGATCCTGTCCAGTACCCGGCGTCCGATTGGATGCACGCCATTCGTCCGTGATCAGTAATTTCCCAAAATTTGCGAGTAGGATGTTCGATTTACCACCAAAAGTTTTACTGGTATGTTTCTGAAATTCTTCGTTTCAGAATAAAGTGACATGTATGGCATGTATGTCTGGCAAGACAGATTATAATCCTGATAAGGTTACAAAAATCAGCATAGTCTGCAACACTACCTATAATATAAACCAGTCCTAAAGATATATTGCAAATCCCCATCAGATCACATGAGATAGATAAAAGGAATGCGAGACGCGCAACCCCGCAATCTTGCCTTTGCCATCCCTGATCGCTGTCTATAATTTGTTAGTTTGTTAGTGTTTTATGTTGTGAAACAATGCTGAGCATACAGTGTTAATGACTGTGTTACACGTTGACAAGTGTCAACGATGGTGTCAAGTTATGACAACAGGCCACGCTGCTTTACTCTTGATACGACGCGTTTAATTTTAAGTTAGAAACTGTAATTCAAGCCAAGTGTAATGCCTTAAAATCAGTTATTGGTCGTATCTCTCCGTAAGTTACTCTGCATTCGGTCTGCTGCAGACTGTCGGCGAGTTGCAGATTTTTGTGAGATGTCCAGATATCTGTCACTTAGAAGCTTACATGCCTCACAACGCCCGGGCAATCCCGCCCTGTTAGTCCGCATTAGCTGCCGAGAGGCGTGAGGATAAGATGGGCTCACTTCAAGTCGTCGCGGTATGTGCGGTCGCCAACAGTTTTAACCGCATAACTTTGAAGAAATTCCAGAGTCGTTTGCCGTCGGCGCGGGGGATATTTTCTCAGACGTGGTCAAAGCCCGTCTCCGGCCAATCGCAACGCATGTTCAGCCCGGCTGGAATGCTACAAAGCCCGGCGTGTTCCAGTTCAACGCTCGGCTCGTGTTTGCCCGCTCATCACCTTTCTCAGCAGGAAATACGGTGCAGCCGGCCACCGTCGCTTCCGAGTGTGCGCCGGTGCAGCCCGCGACCCCGGGCCGGGGGGGGGGGGGCCGGGGGGGGGGGGGCAGCCCTCGGTGGCCGGTCGACGAGGGAGTATGGCTCCGCCGTGCAGAGCGGGGGTGCGGCTGTGCAAATACTGGCGAGCGTGGGCGACGGCCGGCCGGCGTTGGACCCTCCCAGCCGACAGCAGCGGCGGGGCGGCAGACGAGTCGTGCCGCGGCCAGCAGCGGTGAAGCGGCAGACGAGATGTGCCGTGGCCAGCAGCGGCGAAGCGGCAGACGAGCCGTGCCGTGGCCAGCAGTGGCACGGGGCTGCAGGACGTCTGGAGAGCGAGCCAGATCTGGCGTGTTATGCCGCCACTGCGATTTGAAGCGTCATTGACGGGTGCGCACGCCGTCTAGTTGCATGCTGGTCTTGATAGCTGGCCACCGAGTACATCTGGCTGGTCTTGATAGCTGGTCTTAGAGTACATCCGGCTGGTCTTGATGGCTGACCATCGAGTACATCTGGCTGGTCTTGATGGCTGGTGAGAGTACATCTGGCTGTTTCTGATAGCTGGCCACCGGGTACATCCGGTTGTTCTTGATAGCTGGTCACCAAGTACGTCTGGCAGTTCAGGAGATAGTGCTGCGAGGCTTCAGGCTAACCAAGCCATCTCGTATAGAACGCTCCGCATGCGATTTATGAGCCGACAACCTGATAATAGGCCCTTTTGCCACGGTCCATTCCTTGATAAAAGATGATAATTATGAGCATTAGTCGCTGATCGCCCTGGCTGATTTCATTGCAAAGCCACCGGGCTCGTTCGCTGTGTTTGTGATGGTACTTTTACACTGAGTGGGTTCTACAGGTCAGACTGACGTTTCGGTTACGGCACCGTATTTATCTCGCACGCCAGCCAGCTGTCCTTTGATTTCGGCACACTGTCAACCCGCCGTCAACCGCGGCTCGCCGGTAGTATGGCACGGCCACGGAGGCGCCATTCAGCTGATTGGGCGATGACGCTGCTGGTAGAACGCGCCTCTTTTTGCACCTGTTTTTCCTTCGTGGCTCACATCTCGGCCGCGTGATCCGCTGCACCATCCGTCGCCATGTCAACACCGCCGAACCAACACCGCCGAACCAACACCGCCGAACCAACACCACCGAACCAACACCGCCGAACCTACACCGCCGAACCAACCAACGCCACCGAACCAACACCACTGAACCAACACCGCCGCACCAACACCGCCGAACTAACACCGCCGAACCAACACCGCCGAACCAACACCGCCGAACCAACACCGCCGAACCAACACCGCCGCACCAACACCGCCACACCAACACCGCCGAACCAACACCACCGAACTAACGCCGCCGAACTAACACCATCGAACTAACATCGCCGCACCAACAACGCCGCACCAACATCACCGGAACAACACAGCCGAACCAGT